AACCATCAACGCGCTTGACAAGCTGATGAGCAAATAAGTGGACTATGTTGTTGCGTGGGAGTTAGCTGCTTTGCTGCGGATGAAAAAGAATGGGGTGACCTGGTTTCTTGGCTTCTTTTTGCAGGAGGGAATTAAATAAAAAAAATTGGTTTGGTGTAAAGCTACTTCTTCCGTTCTTAAATAAGTGCAACACTTCCCTTTTTCGACAGTTTCAAATTAAATGCAACATTTCCATTTTGGGAAGGAAATACTAAACCAATCGACTTCTATACCCCTAATCATTTCCACCATCCGAAACTTTCTTTTACTTTTTGCAATTCACCACCCCCACCCACGGTGACCCACCCATTTCACTCCTCTGTACAACCTCTTCTTCCGTCTCAGTATTCTCCATCTGCTCACCCACCATAATCTGCTTTCATCACCTACTTAGCCATTTCTACCGTCAAAGAGTATTCCCCTATCATCTTCCTCTTTGATTTCCCCCCCTGTGATTTGTATTTTAATTACCGTCAAAATGGAAGATATGGATGGGGAGATGAAATCGATTGTTTTATTCAAGATGAAATCAATTTTGCTCCCGTTATGAGAATACGTTTGAGACTTGGTGTGAGTCGATCAAGAAGATAGAGACCATGGAATCTGATTCGACTTGGAATCGTTTGTAACCAGCCTTGGCGCGCGGACCACTTCAGTACTTGAAAATCAACCTGTACTTCGACGGACCATTTCTGAAAGGGAAAGTAGGTTGCGAGAATCATCTAGCCTCTCGTTTCTCAGCATCGTTCCTCCTGTTGTTCTTCATTGAGGGAAATTTGTGGACTTTTGGTTATTCCCTAGAAGTGTACTGCATAATTGAGCCTGGTGCTTACTGTTTGCTTTTGTGGTTGTAATCTATTTGTCCACTATTACACACTGTATCACTTTATTTGTGGAGCTCTTGTTTCCGTATAATGAAGGGTAAAAAAGTCAAGTTAAACACCTTTTCCTTGCCTCTTAAAATTTGTGCCCAAGTGCATGTTGCACTTAAGGGTATGTTTGGCACAACTAGCTAAAAAAATATTTTTGTGAGCTTTTTAGTAACTGTTAGCTTTTAGTGACTGAAAAGATCTTAAAACTAAAAGGTCATAGCTGTTAGGTAAAAAACTGACTGTTTGATTTAGTTCGGTTTGGTGTACAAGCTGTTAGGTCTAATTAATACTAAAAGTCACGAGCTTTTCTCAGATGCTACACCCGATAGCATCTCAAAAAAGATCTTTTAATTTTTGAAAAGCTCTTAAAAAATGTCATGCCAAACATACAACTAGAGTCTTTTAAGGTCTTTTTAAAGAAAAGAGAAGCTAGAAGGCAGAGGCTTTTGTGTGCCAAACATGGCCTAAAACCGAACAGAAGAAGTATTTTATTAATCAAATACAGAGTAATAGTTTTAAATTCTTTCAAAAAAAAATTAATAGTTTTAAATTATTTCAAATTGAATTCAAGTAGGCATTTTTTATACTTACAAAAAAAATCACATTTTTTATTTTTTTTTTATATCGGAATGTTTGACTTTTTAAATAATAATTATTGGTAAAAATAAAATTATCACATAAATGATGTGTAATAAAAAAAAGTAAGGATTTATGCATTTACTTAGAAAAAATATGTGCTGAGTGGATATATTGACGGTGTCGGGTTGCAGAGAAAAACTGAATTGACTGGATGAATACGTATAAAGTGGTGTGAAATTAGATTTATTGACGGGCTGGCTTGCGATTAGCTTTACCACCTTCTACCTGCTTGTCACCGAGACCTTCCCATCTTCTCCGTTGAGCGTCGCTTCAATATATCTTCGATGAATATAGCTTTGATTCGTCTTCGTTGAGCGATGCTCTGGTTGAATGTCTTCGTCGAGGTTTGCTATGTTATTTGGAGCTTTTCTCGGTTTGAAGTGTTCCCTGAACATTACAAATTACCTTTAAAATGATGATATGAGCAAGCTAAGTCTGAATCTGATGATTTCTGGGTTATGTTTCATTTCAATTTGTTTTTCTTTTTATGTTTTAATGTGGAATGATGTGCTTTTTTACTCCCTAATTTTTAAATAACAATATGGCATTAAAAAATTGTATGTTTTCTTATTTTTATTTGCAGTTTATTTATGTAATCCTTAATTTACTCTATTTATGTAATCCTTATTCGCAGATTATAACAATGGTAAAATGCATGCACATGAAGAACACTCAAAACCGGATAAGCTGAATACCAGAATCATGTTTGTTTCTAAAGAATAGATCCCTAAATGTGATGAAAAATTGAAGCCTAAAGAAGGGATTGTGTTCGAGTCTTTTATTGGATATTCCCCGCCTAAAAAAGCACGGATTAAAGGAAGTGGGAGACAAATTAAAGGAGAGAAGGAATTGACAATGAATCAACACAAAAAGTGGAAAAGAATTTGTATAGCGTGTGGTGAAGATGACTATCATGATAGTTGTAATTGTCCAAACAAACAATCATAAGTACTAATTTTGAATTTTAAACTACAACTTGGATGTATTACTTATGTTGAAAGAATCTGTCGTTCTGTAGAACATTGAATGTTTGTGGTTTCAAAAATGCATATTGTTTGTGTGGTTGAATTGGAATTAGATAGAAGTTTTGGAACTTTGATTCTTTTGTTCCTAATTTATACAAATCTTTCAAAACCATGGGCTCATTTTTTTAAGCTTGCAGATTTTTGGGAACCGCAACTCACCAAAGTAGTTTGGCTAAAGGGTCAAATAGGTACATGAACTAACTTAAAGTGTTCGATTAGCCCCTTATATAGGAGGTTCTGCCCGGCCGTCGCCAATTGGGACGGTTCCTGGTGGAATTTTTTGATGAATTTTTTTGAGCATCTTCTTCATTAAGTCTAGTTTACTCATACCAAATTTCAGCTAAAAATTCAACTAGGAAGGCAGTCAAATGATTTTTTGAAGATAACTGTCCAGTTAAACAACGCAGTACATTTCGAAAAATCATTTGACTGCCTTCCCGATTTAATTTTTAGCTGAAATTTGATATGGGTAAATTAGACTTAATGAAGAAGATGTTCAAAAAATTTCATCAAAAAATTCCACCGGGAACCGCCCCAATTGGCGACGGCCGGGCAGAACCTCCTATATAAGGCGCATATTCAGGGGAGGATCTATGTTAGGGCTATGGTGGGCTGAAGCCCAGGGCAAAGTAAAAAAAATTAATTTTTTTAAGGTATTATTTTCACAAAATTCTATCCAGCCCAGCCCAAATTTTTCTATAGCCCAATCCAATTTTTCAGCCCAACCCATAAAACAAAATCATTCCATCTAAAAATCTAATCTAAATGTTATACGAATTACCTCCCACATAACAAGAGGCACTTTTGTACATCGTATAAGGGCCGTAAAGCCCAAAAGGAATAAATGTAATAAATACAATAAAATATGATTCAAATATGATTCACATATATCAACTTGTAAAGTGTTTGAGTATATTCAAGAACATTGCCCAAAAGTGAGTTCTTGGGCAGAAGTTCATAGTGTATATAGACACTTTCCATGTTTTGAATTTGTGTTCAATTCACTTTTGTTATAACGAGTATTCTTTGTCAAGACCTTCAAACAATTATTGGATATCTTGATAGCAATGAGACATGTTTCTACTACGCAACTCATTCTCAGGGAAGTGACATAAAATGGATGTGAGGGCTTTCTTGAAGAAGCAAAGGAGTTTTGCTCAAAAAAGAAATTCTTGTACCGAAATTGAATTCTAAATATATGGTTGGTCATTGCCGAAAAGAAACTACAGTTGAGCACTCATTATCACTTTGATGTTTTCAATGAGGCAATAGACTCTGTATTGTTGAAGTTAAGGACTCGGTTTAATGATAAATCAATGGATCAAACTCCTTTCTTTGAGTGCTTCATTGGATCCTGAAAGTTCATATGTGTCATTCAATGCCGATGCTATTTGTAATCTCTTGCAAGGAAGTTCTATCCCGAAGGTTTTAGTAATGCTTTTGAATTCGAGCGACAACACTATGCTTATGATGTGATTCATGATACAAAGTTTCGAGTATCTACACTTGTTGAATTATGTGAGCAGTTGACTAAGAGCAAAAGATCTGTTTCATATGTTATGATCAGCATATTGATTCGCTTTGTATTGATCTTATTGTTTTCACTACAACAATAAAATGATCATTTTCTGCCGTGAAACTTTTAAAGACAACACTCCGCGACAAATGGATGATGACTTTTTTGTTAATTGCAATACACTTTATATTGAAAAAGGTCATACTCTTAGTATAGATGTAGACTCTATAATTGACGAGTTTTTTTGTTTCAAAGCTTCGTCGAGAACAAATTTAGTGGAGAACTCTTAGATATTTTTTTGTTTGCTTATTTTGAAAATTTTTAATGTATTATCAATTAAGTTTTTCAGCCCAGTCCAACATGAAATCCTGGATCCGCCCCTGCGCATATTGAACACTTTAAGTTAGTTCATGTACCTATTTGACCCTTTAGCCAAGTAGTTTTGAACCGTCAATGGCATGAATATACTTCTAAATTCTAATACAAGTTGTTTAAGCTTCTGCTCTTACAATTTAGAGTTCACATCCTTTGTTTTTGTGTGGCATTGAAGACCATCTTCTGCCTTCACTTGAGCTCCTTTACAATATATCAAAATTTTACTTATTTACCATATGAATCCTTTCTAGCACAATATATGCTCTTTTATACCATAGATCTACCTTTAGTATCGTAAGAAAATGCACGCAATGCAACTCAAATACGGAGTAATAGATTTAGAAGTTTCAAAGCTAAGTTTTTTCCAAAAATAAGCGATTGATTTTGAATCTTTCCAGCATAACTCAAGTAAATTTCCGGTTTTGATTTGAATAGTAGCCTATGTTGGATTTGAACCTACATTTTTATGTTTATAATACACTGCTCTACCATTTGAACTAATAGAATAAAATTGTTAACATGCAAGACACCTCCATAGAGAGCAGGTCACACCACATACACATTGAATTCCACACATTCTTAATCCATTTTATCTTACCTTTTTAGGAAAACTGTCAAATCAGTTCATCTACTATTTCGAAAAAGTCAATAGAGTCCAAATATTATTTTTTTCAACCAATTAAGTCTACCAAGTTACTAAAAATGACCAAATTTGCCTTTTACCAGGTGATTGACCGGTTTCCCTGGTAATCTGCCTACGTGGATCATCCACGTGGCTTTTTTTCCTTGTAAGCGATGATTTTGCAGTCCATGTGGCATTAGAGACTCGCTTTAAAAAAAAGTTTCTTGTGTGGTTCCCTGCATCCCTTCGTCTTTCTTCCCCATTTCTTCTTTTCTTATTCTCTTCGTTTTTTCTTTGTTCCGTTTCTTTCTTTATTCTCCTCTATTTTTTCTTGCTTCTTCCCTTCTCTACCTCTCCATCTTTCTACCGCCGTTGACCTCTGCCACCGCCGACCCCGTCGAGATCTGCCGCCACAGTCACCATCGGCGTCGATCTCTTCCGCCGTCATCACCATCGGCGTCGAGCTCTGCCGCCACCTTCTCCGTCGCCGTATGGTTGCCATCGAAGAAGAGCAAGGGGTTTCGTAGGGTTTTCATTGGGTTGCCTTCTCTGGGCATGGAAGAATGGGGATATAAGGTTGAGTGGAGTAGAAGAAGTGGAGTGGAGAAGAAGAGCAAAATGAAGAGGAAAAAGAAAGAAAAGAGAAAGGAGAAGGGGGTGGGCAAGATTGCAAGAATGAAGGGAGGGGGTTGAATTGGGTGGGGGCTTGGGGTAGAAGCAGTGGAGAAGAAAAGAGATTGAAAAATAGGGGAGAAGGAGTTGTAGGAAGATTGGAGAAGAAGGGGAAAAAAGAAAAAAAGGGAATTAGGAAGATGGGAGACTCGGAGTTGCAGGCGGCAGATGAATAGGGGGGACGACGAACTAGAGGAAAAAGAAAGGAAGAAGAAAGTAAATTAAAAGGGAAAAAGAAAAGGGAAAGAGGAAAAAATAAATAAAAACGCTTAAGTGGCATCCACGTCAGCAATAAAAAGGGTCACCGGTTGTTTACCGGTCAAATGACAAAATTGGTTAAAATTGGAGACTATGTGTACCCAATTGATTGATAAAATTGTACATGGACTCAATTGACTTTTACAAGATAGTACATGGACTCATTTGACAGTTTTCCCTACCTTTTTTATTTTTCTTATCTTTCTCTCCTTTTGTCTTTGATATCATGGATTCATTCATGTTAGTCGATCCCAAAATCTTTTGAGAATAAGACTTGGATGGTGTTGTTGTTGTAGCAAATTCTACAATCTGGAATTTCAAGCAATGTGGATAAAAATTGATTAAATTTTCTAATTGTTGTGTTTCCTATCTGGTTGAATAGTTGGACAAATCAAATGTTACATTTCTTTGAGAAATAATGAAAGGATTAGAAGTTGTAGCAGCTGAAATAGGAGATAATAAATTGTTTCGGTATCAATTATCTGTTGATACAATCAGCTAACCACTACCGCTAAACGACGATGGACAAATAGGTTTAAAAAGTTTGTCATTATTAAGTATTTCATATATTGTGAGGAAAAAATGCATGAAGTATTTTTTTTGAATGGATCATGCATGAAGTATTAAATATAAGAGTTCATCTAATTTCATTTTGTTGGAGGAAAAATAATTTATTTGATTTCCAACCATAGTCTCTTTACATATACGGAGTATATAAAAATAAAGATAAAAATTTATGGGGTCACATATTTAAACGGCACTGATTAATATGTAGTCCAAATTTTGAGATTGGTACCTCAAGCTTTTATTTGAACACCGGAACCGCATATTAGGGCATCCACATCCATAGATTATTTTAGAGATCATTGTGATGATGTGGAGGATCTTTTTTGAGATTATGGTTGAGAAGTTAAGATTATTTGTAGAGATTATTTGATAAAATAATCTGGTATCAAATTCTAAAGCTAGATTATTTGAAGATTATTTCCAACTTCTAGGCTCCTCTCCCAATTTTCTAGACATACTCATTAATTGATTTGAAGAGCTCATGTATGCCATACTACAAAAAATATGAAGAGCTGATCGAACTGCATGCGCTATTCCTTTATACGTAGTGTTCAACATCCAAATTCAATTCAATTCAAGTGTTCATTGTTCAACATCCAATACATTGTTATTTAGCACTACTACGACTAAATACATTATATTAATTGTAATATTATTAAAGAAAATACATTAATTGAAATGTTATAAATTAAAATATATAATGTTATATACAAAAATTTATAGTAGTGTACGTATTGTACTTTATTAATATACTATATAATTTGTAGTACGTATATTACATATATATAATAGTGTACCTATAGTACCATACATGTATATGTAGTAATATAGTTTGTGCATGTAGAGTGCATGTGTGTGAGTGCATTTAAGTTAGAGATTTTGAAATTAAGTGTATGTCTCATAAAAAATCTAGGTAAATTAAGATCATGAATGAGGAGAAATTTTTTGGTTTGAAGATTATTTGAGATTATCTTATGTGGAAGTGACATGGCAATAATAGGCCATGAAAAACCGTAAAGTTGAGGATCATCAATGTGGATGCTCTTAGAAGCACCACTTCAACAATCATCAGATTGGATCAAGAGATCCTAGTATACATAATGGTGCGGTGAATGCTTTCACATGCATGTAGATACCAGTAGAACTCGAAGAATTTTTTTTAGATTCCCGAGGTCAAATGAATTCTTATTGTGAAGTCAGAGTATCTTTCTCGTAATCTCTCTTCTTATTATATAAGGGTACAATATCATGTTCGAATTCGGCCATTTGGGGTAGAAACTCGTTTACTTTTTTAGCTGTGCTATCTCTACCTGTGTCCAACTGTTTTCACTGGAATCATCTATTGTATATGGATTTTAAGGAAGAAAACTGCATTTGAGAATCTCAAGAGTGAGGATGTGATGGCTATGCCCCTGTGTGACCTTTTACATTCTTTGATTAATGAAGGTTTTGCATTTCCTAAAACAAAAGAAAGTTTTGGCATTATTGATCAACAAATTACAGGTTAGAGACTATCAAAAGAAGGATAATGTTCTATTCGCGTAAACGTCTGGCATAAGTCTATAGGCTAATGTTAAAGAGAAAGACGGAAACGAGGAGAAACATCCTGGTTGGTGTTCGAGAATAGCTTAACTTGAGGATATTTTTCTCAGGGCCTCTAAATTCATGAAAGTTACTCGGCGAGTTTTTTATGCAGGTACCCAGCAAGCCGTGGCACATATAGTCCGACCTTTCCACCCTTGCAGTATCCAATGACGGTCTTCATCAAATACAAAATCTTTGTGATATCCCTCCTTCACCTTATGTCTTACCTTCTTCAAAAGCTCTGTGTTCACGTTCATGGGCTTGAACCCGGCCCTTATATTTCGCAATTCCCACTGCTTGTATGTTTCGGGTCGCTCTGACCTTTCCATGCCCTCACATCCAATGACATTCATTATGCCGCGTGCTAGGATTTGTTGTTCGAAACAAAGTCTGTCATCGTCAAGGGGTAGAGTGGAATCATACATATCATAGATAGAAGAGTAGAATGACATAGCCTCTCTGAACCGAGAAAGAAAGAAAGTACAGCCATGGGATCCACTAACCACGGTTTGAACAAATATCTGTGGAGTTATTTCCCGGAGCAGGTTTAGAACTGCATCCCGTGGGTTGTCCACACCAACTGTCTCATCCATTAGGGATTTCATCCGAAACGCACAGTGAACAGCAACCACCTCACCCCTCACAAGCTTCAAATCATCAATCTTAACTGTCTCCCAATTCTTTCTTGTTATGGCATTGTACTCGAATGGTACACCGAAATGCTCGCAATATTTTGCCAAGTGGCAACCTGTCTCTTCTACCATCTGCTCCGGACGAAAACCAGGCTGGGGAAGCTCAACTCCAGTTATTCGAAGTTTAGGTGGGCCACCCGGTCTTCGAGAAAGATCGCGGATAAGAGTGGGCCACTGGACACCATAAGAAATACCAAAGTCTATGACATGCAATGATGTACCTTTTGACGCTATTTCAGTAATCATTGTATTGCAAACAAAATATGATATTCTCATGAGTGGCCAAGATATGAGGTGAGATCGCAACAGATCAGAAGATGTCATTTTAAATGGACCTAGGGCCGCACAGAGTTGTGGGCCAGTTCCATTAAGCCGTGCCTCAAGAGCATTAGCAAATGCATGAGCCATCCTTTGAATTGCATCACCAGTAAGCGATGAATGTTGCCTGATCTTCTTCAGTTGTTCTTTTGCAGCCCTATCATCCAAAAAAGCAATAGATTGTGCACAGTTGGTTAAAAGAGACCCTAGATCTATAATTTCAGAGGTAGCACCATGTTTTTTAGAATTGCTCTTCCTGCAACTCTTCCCCTTCTTCTGTTCCATGATGCCCTTTCCACCATCTATGATATTATCTGTACAGATCAAAACCTTATCAAACAACTCTGATAACTCAACCTCTCCTTTATAAACTGCTGAGTACTTGCTGCTCCTTTCTTCTTCTTCTAACCCACATTCAGCTAGATGGTTGTGCTTCTTTCTTCTGGCGGAATCTGTGTTAAGGCTATCTGACTTAGTCCGACTTGATGATGGGAAAGATAAGTCTGGAGGATCACTGTCCGGAGATGATTTTGATTCTTCAGGGTCAACAATCCACTGGTCAGTGTTAAAACTACCAATGGTGCTTTCAATTGTAGTATCAGCACTATTGTTATCATGTAGCGCTTCATACAAGGAATTCTCTGCAGCTCTAAGAACAACGGGATCATAGAGCATGCTGTGAGTATTCTCATCAATGCTGTCCCCCAAGAGTATCTGGTTAATGTACTTGATCACAGGATCAGAGGCAGTTGAATGGGCATCCATGACATTGAGAGGTAAAGAAAAATTGATGTCATTCTCCAACTCGGATCTGCTTACAGATTCACAAGGCCTACTCAACTGATGATCCATAACCTTCTATGAGACAAACCTGCATCCACATACATATGGAAAACCAGTAAACAACATCACCAATCCATAAAATTAGTAAGATTCTGCTGAGAAAAGTCGGTATTTAAATTTAGGCATAAATAAAGTATCACTAACAATAGCAACAAGTCTAAGAAGGGGCTGGCGGAAATGGCTTGCTGTGCTGATCAAGTTTGATTCATTGAGTTTTTTCCTTCTAGTATTATTGTTCAAGTCATTAGACTCATTCCTATTATTATGATTAGTCTATTATTATTGTAGTTGTGATAGTTTTTTATCTTTATGGAAACTAATAGATCTATACTTCCCTGGACTAGATCTTGCTTCTTCATGCTTTAAAAGCATTCCTCAAACATAACCAAGATAACAACAATTCATTAACCTCACTGCCAATAAAGAAGCTTAACCCGCACAAGCTCAGGCACCTAAAAGGAAGAAAGGAAAGTAATTGGGTATCACATTCAAACTGATTAGATGCCAAATCTTATTAACTTCGAGTTACGATTTTTAGAACCACTGAAAAACTCTGAACAAAACAATTGAAACCACGACTGAATAAAAGGGGGAGAATTCAAATATAGGCCGAGTTCAATATCATGGATGCAGAAACTTGTGAGCCCTTTCCAATTTTCATCAGATTTTTCAGAAGTTTTTGTGCGCACCTTCGGGATAGATTATTCATGAAGAGCGTCGATTTGTGAGATGGCAGCAAAACAGAGAGAGCTTTGCATCTAATACTTCAGCAGCTGAAAGAAATTTGCGGAGAAAGTTGAACTTCGTTTTTTACCACCAGATCAAAAGTAGAAGGTAAATAACTAAAGAGTTTGTTTTAGTTACAAAATCTCATGAAATTAAAGTCTTTTTTTTAACAAAAAAATTAAAGTCTTAATAATGTAGATGAGATTAAGGATGTTTTTACTTGGACTGTAATTTGCTGGTCTGGTCTGGTCTGGTCTGATCTGGTCTGGTCTGATCTGGTCTGGTAAGGTCTGGTTTCTTTGTATTTTTATAACTATCCAAGTCTGGTCTGGTCTGGTCTGAACTGGTCTGGTCTGGTCTGGTCTGGTCTGGTCTGGTCTGGGACAAATTACAGTCCAAGTAAAAACATCCTAAATTAGATTACATGGAGTCTACATTCTCCGTTATGGAGTCTACATTCTAAAGCTGGGCACGGGCCGGGTCGGGGCGGGTAATTCAAAATAAAATGGAACTGCCGGTTCCATTGTACGGGTTGATTCGGTCCGGGTATTGTAATTTTGAAAATAAGAACCGGACCTTACCCTGCCCTTTTGAAACGGGTCGGTCCGGTCCGGTTTTTTCGGTTTCAGTTTGTATTTCTTAAAAGTAGTAACAACTTACAAAGTTGTTAAGGTCTTAACCATTCTGAATCTGCTAAATGCTACCCATTCTGTAATCTGTAATTCTTAGTATCCATATTCTGAGTGATATTCCTGTCCGGAATTTCCGGACAGGAGCCCCGTCCGGCCTCCTCCATTTGAGGGCCTTCCCGGTGGTATTTTTTGCTCAAATTTTTTGTGTATGTTCCTCATCAAGTCTAGTTCATCCATACCAAATTTGAGTAATATATTTCCTTATCAATAACAAAGTCATATTTTACGGTTAATAAAATAGAACCTACATGTAACAAGAATAGCAGTAAGTTAATGTTAGTTTGTGATTCCGTATCGCAGAAAAAATAAAAATGATGCATTCCATGAAGAAAATACTAAACGCTTAAAAAATAGAAATTACATATATAACGGCCTAACGGGCAACTCAGTAAAGGGTTAAGTTGCATTACCGTAATGGGCTAAGTTGCCACTTCCTAAACGCTTAAAAATATAAATTACATATATAACGGGCTGGGCCGGGTACCCGGTACTTTTATATTTTGGAACCGGACCGGACCGTAAAATATTAATACCCGCCCCTACCCGGACCGTTTTGTAGTATAAATAAATGGAACCGGCCTGTTTTGGACGCGGACCGGACCACGGTTCCATACCCGCTTGCCCACCCCTACTACATTCTGCATTCCATTAGATTTTCCCCAAAAACTTTGTCACTTTTCTTTTAGGGAAAAGTACAGAAAATGTACATGTGGTTTCAGCCGTTTTCAGATAGGGACACATGTTTCATTTTTTAACAAAGTGGGACATGTGTTTCAATTTCGTTATCACAGTAGGGGCATGACGTCTAACGCCGTTAGAAAATCTAACCCCGATTTTCAAAAGTCGCCGAAAAATTAAAAGAAAAATACTGGGAAATGCGCCTAGTCAAGGAGACCAACAAACTATCTTTCTTTTTTTTGTTTATAGCCACCATGTCACCAAAAAATCGTTGGAAAAGTGATATTAACAAATTCATTTCTTAAAGATAATCTTAATAGAGCAAAAAAATTCAAAGAGAACGATAGTTTGTTGGTCTCCTTGACGAGGCGCACCTCTCAGTATTTTTCTGGTAATGTTTTAGAGAATTTTGAAAATTGAGGTTAAATTTTCTAACGGCGTTGGACGTCATGCCCCTGTTGTGATAACAGAATTGAAGCACATGTCCCACTTTGTTAAAAAATGAAACACGTGCCTCTATTTAAAAACGGTCCAAATCATATGTACCTTTTCTGTACTTTTCTCTTTCTTTTAAATTAATGAATTTGTATTTTAGTTCATTTCTTTCTCCTCTACGTAAACTTTAACCACATAATTTTTATTTTTCTAATTTTCACTCAATCTATAGTTGGAAAAGTTGAGTGGGACGAATGTAATATTTTTTTTTTGTGCAAAAAGGAATCTTATTTAGTAATGATAAATGTAACAAAATATAAAACAATATAATAGCTCGAGGCTACACAGGGATGAGACATAGAATTGGATGGCCTTCAAGGACAAAACAAAATCGCTAATCCCGCCATGGGCGGATGGTAGTTAGGGCAGGGGGGCTTCAGCCCAACCCAAAATAATATTTTTTAGTTAGTATAGGTATATGTTAAATTCTCAGCCCATCCCAAAATTATTTCCCAGCCCAGCCCACTGCCCAGCTTCTCGGCCTTCTGAGTTCTGACTTGCGTTTAAGCCTTAAGCGATTGGAGCTTCGAGTAAGAGCAATAGTGTCTAGCGACGAAGAAGAAAGAACGATGAGGGAGCATTGGAGCAGACTGCAGACGGAGCTTGAATCTGCGACGAAGAAGTGACTAGTGAATGACTCCAGCCTCCAGCCGCGCCGCCGACGTCATCCACCGACTCTGGCATTCCGCCTCTGCGCGGCGACTGCGTGTCTGCCTGACTGCCTCCCTCCAGACTCCAAGAGTCCAGGTAAACTCAAAATTCAATTTCTTTTTTGAGATTTTTAATTTATTGTTTTAATTAATTTGGTGTTAGATTGTAATTTCATGAATGTGTCAATGTGTTATACGGTTATAACGTATTATTTGTGTATAATATTAATATATTATTATTTTTAGCATTTAAAGTTTTAGGGTTAGGGAATCATTTTGATTATTAATTGAATTTTTCAGTACATAAATAAATAATGTTTAATTCATTATAATAAATATATATGATTAAAGATAGAATTGAATAGTAGAAAATGATTTAGTTATTAAAGCTTAGTAGTTTTATGTAGATTAATTGATGATCTACTGCTATTATGGAAAGAGCATTTTCAGCAATGAAGCATGTGAAGACAACATTTCATAACAAAATGGGAGATGATTTTCTTGAAGATTCATTGATGATCTACATTGAACGAGATTTTGCCAATAATATAGATGTAGATTCTATTATTGATGAATTTTATACTTTGAAGTCGCGTAAGACACAACTTAAATGATATTTTGATGAATATTTAAATGGTTGACAACTTGACTTATTATTAGGTATGTGTATTTCAATTTTTCCCCAGCCCACCTCATTGTAACTTTCTGGATCCGCCCCTGAATCCCGCAACTATGTAGACTAATCTAACAGCACAGTTGAGTTTGCTACTGAAAAAGTAATTGAAAGAAAATAAATTGCCCAAACTAGAAAGGAAAAAATTAAATCAAGAATCACGGTTTCACCAACCAACAGAAAGAGACAATTGATTTGACTAGCAACCAACAAAGGAAACTCAGCTAAGCAAATTTTTTCTGAATCACCAATTTGACCAGTCACCGATTGAGCGTTTTCTACTTTCCACGGTGAGGCGGTGGTTCAAGTGGAGGGTGAGGAATTGAAGCCTTAGAACAACAAGGTTGAAAAAGCTTTGCCAACCATGAATAACTGATGACAAACACAAAGCCAAACATTGGTAAGAGTATAACATACCACATGTTCACCTGAAACGGTCAAAACTCTCGACCAACAAAGAAGCCAGACCAAAACCCTTGAGGAAGCTGAGGAAGAAGATGACTGTCATGACTGCATGTTTACCATTATTTGTACTACTTTTGGGATATTGGTTCTTAAGAATAGCTCTTTTGGGATATTTGTTCTTAAGAAATTCGCAAGTTTACCTTTATTTATACTATTTTTGATATTATCTCTCAATTCTAAGAGGTTTTTTTAATAGGTCAAGTAAGAAATGATTATTTCCATTTGTGTATTTTTTTATTCACTTAATGACAAGCTAATGATGACGGTAACCCATGGGTGTTAAAAATAGTTATGTTGAATTATTTGTTTTTAAGAATGCCTCTGCAATTTTACCGTTTATTTACACCAAATTCGATATTAGGACTCTCAATTCTTGAAGGTAGAAGGATCTATAATGTAATTAAGTATTAATAAGAAAGAAGTGACCGGGATTGAAGGGTCTTATCATTGATTCAGGACACCTACTTCTCTATTGCAAGAAGTTATTGTAATTTTTTTCTTTCTACTTTTATAACAAGACATCGGTTGGTTTGGAGATGTAATAAAAAGAAAGAACTGATTGGGATTGAAGAGTCTTATCAATGAGTCAGGGGCAAATATTAAAAAGTACGTATGAGTATTTTCCTGCGACATCCGGTTTTTACATATGGACAGTTGTTAGTTGCACTTTCAAGGGTGCCAATTATGTCACACTTGAAGTTTTAATATGCGACGACTGAGGTAATCGTGAAAAACTACAAATGTGTTGTCTACAAGGAAATCTTCAATAAATTGTAACTGGTTGCTTGTTAAAATTTTAATATTAACAAACTTTGTATTGGTTATTATTTGTTTATTAATTAATATTAAAATTCGTATTTATTTATTATTTCAAAAATATTGCAATTTAATAACATTTATATCTTAACATTTATAATATCTTCATTTTACATCTCATGCAACACACGGTGAAATTCTAGTTTAACTTAAAATAGTAAACACTGCAATTGTAAACTCTGTATTAGGGACTCACAAAATTGATATTTGCTAGAGTAGAGGACTTACGGTATTACGTACTCCGTAACGAAAAATTGATTATTAAACTGGAGGAATAATTAATAAAGCAAAAAAGGTACTCTGTATAAGGGACGGATGGTATTGAACCTATACTCTAGTCCAGTTCGATCCAGTATTGGTTCTCATTTTATGAGAACCGGTCATGGCATGATTTAGAACCAGTACGGTACAGTTCAGGATAGAAATTTAGAGATTCATTTGGAACCCCCTTTCTAGTTTAGTACCATACCGGTCCTGTTCGGTACAATGCTGGTTCGTTTTTAGTTTTAGTAATATCGTCGACACGAATGTTTATGATTTATGTCAATGGCGTTTGTATTGTCTCTTTATGTTTGGATCTTTTCGTTGTCATGCTCTT